CTTCTCTTCTCAGTCTTATGCTTACAATGATCTGTATCTGACTGTCTCACTTTAATGAGACTGAAGTGTTTTGCTAAGGAGGATGAGTTATGAGGAAGACGAAGCTCCTCCCTCTAAGCAAGTGTAAATCCAGAATTAAGAGGCTCCAACTGAGGAAGTATAGAGAAAGAAAAAAATAACATCCCTTTATTAAAGGGAGGAGCTTGGTCTTCCTCATAACTCATTCCCCTCAGCAAAGATTTCAGTCTCATTAAACTGAGACAGAAGCAGACACCATTCCTCCTGGTGGATCACCATCTTCATCAGGTTGAAGGGATGGTTGTGCAAGTGTACTGCCTGGGAAAAGTGGTACTTTACAGTCAGTGCATCTCTGAGCAACACCAGATGGAGAGGAAGAGGCGCTTCCACACCACGTATCCAAACCCAGCACCAGTCTTCCCTCCTAGTGCTAGGAATTACCCCCTGCAGCTAGTCCCTGTCACCTGCACCCCTGGTCCCCATCCTTCTACCATCTGCCCAGGACACGAGTACTGTAAGAATGCACCAATGGCCTGCAGCACTCATAAAACATTATCTATTACATGGGAACCTGATTTCTTCCCCTTTGCCCCTTCCAAAAGGATACTGCTTCTCTCTGAAAGACTCATATGAGTATTTCCACAGAGATGTAGAAACAGGGAAATGCTTACTGCTGGGCTGCTGGGCAAAGACCATCTGTGTGTTTCCTCTCATGCTATACTCATGCTTCTCCTGGAAGAAAATCCTTCCTAGAAAAGGCCTGTGCTGAAGCAGGAAAAACAATGCTCTGTCTAATGCAAAATCATGGGCAGGAATTCTATCTGCTGGGAACTGGCTATTGCTAACTTCCCTCATGCAGCCCATGCTGGTCAGTGGCAGTGCTGGCTGAAACCTGAAACTTGCAGCAGAGAGGGAAGGACACAGGAGTCAGGCTGGACCACACACAGGCTTTATTTTTGCAAGAGGGGAGTGGGGTTAATAATGAAAGGAAGAAGTGATGCAGGGATCTGGCTGGATTCCAGTTGCCACATGCTGCACTGCCAACTGGCATCCCCCAAGGGCCACCATCTGACAAATGCCACGGAGATGTGCCCTCCCTCGCCCCTGCAGCCATTGCTGCCCTGGGGCACCAGTTAGCTAAAAAAAGCCATTTTTGCCTTCCGTGTTCTCTGCAGAGCAAATGCCAGCATGAGCTGTCACTGCTGGCACCTTGCTCTTCAGTGTGACACCACAGAGGTGGCTCCTCTAAAAGGCTTTTAAAAGGCTGTGCAGCTGCTTACAAACAAACCAGGCATACAGTGCAAAGAGTCTCATCCTGTATGGTTGTCCCTCCTTGAGCAAGGGTGTTAGGTGTTTTGGAAGGTGGAGCTGAGCTTGCTCAGCTGAATGGGAAGCAAACAACAAATAGTGTTCCAGAGCGGACAGGAGCAGACGTGAGATGCTGCAAAGAGGTGGTACCGAGGAGATGCTGTCTGAGGTCAGGAGGGGGCTGGAGAACAGACAGCTGCTCTGGGGAACTGTTAAAAGAGAAAGAGAGCACAGAAGAAGCCAAGTCTTCAGACTGTTGACATCATGCTGGAAAGTTTCATTTTCTTTTTTTCTGTGAAGTACTACCTGAAAGCCTTGTGGGAAAAAAGTCCAGCTGTACTGTTGCTTTATTACAGTCCTAGAGTCACCCCTGAAAATGTGAGGCTTAGCTCTTCCCTCTGGATATCAGGAGCGATTGCAACAGGAGTATACCAGTATGGGGCTTGTGTATGTGAACCTCCCACATCTGGAGCCAGCTGGGCCCTCTAAATTTATACTTTCCCTCATACACTTCTTTTGGGGCACAACCAACCTGTCCTCGGACTGACAAAAAGTGCAGCCCTTACCTTGACCAAGGCAGCCTTCAGCATTCCAGAAAGAACTTGCCTGCCTCCATATCTGATCCCACCTGGCTCAAACAGGCCCCTGTAAGGACACCTTCCCTCTCACAGCAGCTCCAGTGCCATAAGTGAAAGGGACAGGCCACCTTCTCTCCACAGCACTGGCATGTGCAGCACCTCGCCCTTTAGTCCGGCAAGGAAAGATGCCAGAGAGGTGGGAAGAGGTCTCCAACTGTGACAAATTGCATTGGTGTCACCTGGAGCCAAGTGCAGTCTGCCAGCACACGGTGGATGAAGAGCCAGAGCTCCCACTTCAAGCAGTGGCCAGGATTTAGGGCTGTAGAGCACAAAGCAGCATTTTGGATCCAAGTAGCAGCAGCAGGAGTCCCAGCAACAGGATGTCGTAAGCACAGCTGGAAACAACAAGGCATCCAGCCTCAGCAGAGTATTTTTTGTTCCTGTGGGGTGCCACTGACTGCAGCTGGGACTCGTGATCCCTGAAGGAACCAGAACTCTTAAAGTAATTGGCATTGACTGAATTATCACAATAATGTTTAACACCCAAATGCAGTTTTATTGAATTAATTTGACCTTCCTGAGCGGTGTTGAAGAGGAGTCCAGTCTGCCCCTCTGCAGCATATGACTTGACTGTCTTACCAATAGCAACAGCTAAGGAAAAAAAGAAAGCAAGAGAAGCCTTCTCAAGGCTTTGGGAAAACAAATTATGCCTGACACTAATTTGATCTGACCTGTTTCTGAAGGTGGTGGAAGGCACATCTCTCAGCTCCATCTGTTTCTCCTTACCAAAGAGAAGGGACACAGACGTTCCCAGGGTGTTTTTAGAAGAGCAGAGGAAGAGTGGGCAGATGCCATGGATAGAAAGCAAGATTTAAGGGATAAAATAATCCTGCTTGCTTCATTCATAACCATTTCTACCAAAGCAGAACTTGGCAAGAACATAATATGGGAACAACTATAACCCAGTTCCCCTCTAATGAGATAGAAACGAAGAGGCAAGATCAGGAGGGTGACAAGGTTATCGGCCCTCCCCAGCAGGATGTCTGTTAGCCTTTCCGGACAGCTCTGATTCTCTGGCATTTCCTTCTGTAACTCACTCAGAGCTGCTGCTACTCTTAAACTTGTCACAGAGCCCAGTCTCCCTGGATTGGCTCTGGGAGCATCTGTAGCAGCTCTGTCCAGCTAATCTATGCCTGTTGCCTGTCCTGGTGCTTCCACAGCAGAAAGCAGCACAGTGTGCCCCAAAAACCCCAGTCACGTGCCAGGAAAAATTACTGACACCCGAATCTCAATCTGAATCTGGCAGGTTTGAGACCATTTTGCTTGTGAGAGCAAAGGTCATAAAAACAAAGCCAAGGACAGGAATGCACGGCCCAGGGTGGCTGGAGGGACAAACACACTGACCGACAAGATGCAATTTTCCAGGCATCCCGTGCCAGAGCTCAAGCTCCTCAACTCCTTTTCTGCTCTGGTAATCACACACTGAAATGGGGCCATGCCCAGCCCCCTCTCCCAGTCCACCTTCTCAGCAGAGAGGAAAGATGCCACAGCAACATCTTTGGCAAGGCAGGAAGGGACAGCAAGCAGATGGTGCATTTCTGTGTCCAAAGCTCCTCCCTCACCCCACTCTGTTTATTTCACCCATAAGTCACTGGCAGAAGAAGCATTGCGGGAAAAGCTCTGCCTGGTTCACTGGGACAGAGCCCAAGAAGTGCTCCAGGACCCACTCACCACACAAATTCAGGGGCTGCACATCTGGGGAGAAGGGTTCCCACAGCTGTCTGGTGCTTGTTCCCTGCACAGAGTGGGTGGGGAGCACAGACAGGGAGGGAGCAGGAACCCGCACGCCTCCCCCGTGCTGGAAACCTGTGTGCAAGATGGGATGGAAAGTCTTTACACCGGCATCATTAGTGTAAGAGGAGAAAAGGCACACACTGTACCTCAGGGGGGTGTGCACAATGCTCCAAAAAGTCACAAAATAAGAGGAAGCTGTCTCATGGATGAGAGGAAGATGTTGCCTAACAAGAGTGCTTTGGATGGGTGTGCGCAGGCTGTGTCAGGGGTGCATAGCGTGTGCTTCCCATGTCCCGCTGGGGAAAGGCATTCACCTCCCAGGAGCCAGCAAGGGCCCCGGGATCTCCTGCAGGATCCACCACTGGAGGCTGCGGGCAACTGGGCAATGCTAGGACTACTGTGGTGTAAGGGTAGGAGACCCTTTCCGAAAGATGTTACTTCGAGGATATTAGGGCTCTTCGCTTAAGAAAGTTTGCCTGACTAAAAGACGTGTCGTTCCCCAGAGAGAGTTTTAGATGTTTTCTCCTCCTGCATTCAAGAGAAACGCTCCTCGACATGACAGAAAGGTAAGTCCCGTGGAGGGCGGGCCAGAAATTATACATGCCCTGGGAAGAGCAGGGGGCGCATCTTTCCCCAGGCACAGTGTTTGAATAGGATTAATGTTCTTTGAAGTCCAGTGTTCTCGACTTTGGAAACAATTTTTTCTGCAATCCTTACACTGCGTGGCATTTCGGGGATACACCTGCGAGTTGTATCTTACTTCCCAAGCGGCTTCCCAGCTCTGTGCACCGGGACGGGGCGCGCTGGGCTCCCACGCACCCGGGCGCGGGAAAGCGCCGCGTCCCACGCTGGAGAGCCGGGGGATGGACACCAGGGCCGGGGGACCAGGGTCGGTCCCTGGTGCACAGGGACAGCACCGCGGTGTCCCCGGGCTGTGGCGTCTGGGGAATTGGCGGGCTCCGCACACGGGCCGCGGCTGCGGGGGAAGCCGGCGCTGGCCGGGGCAGGACGCGCTGGTTCCTCAGGAGGGGTTCAGAGCCGGCGGGTCCCGAACCCGCGACCCTGCTGCCCCCCGAGAGCCCCGCGCACGCGCAGAACGCCCCGCCCGGCCCTGCTCCCGGCGCGCAGGCGCGGGGGTGTCCCCGGGGCAGAGGGGGAGGAGGGGGCGAGCGCTGTCCCGCGCGTGCGCGGAGCAGCGGCGGGCGCCATGTTGCCGTGGCGGGCGGGGGGGCGCTGAGCGCTCGGTGCCGCCGCGTTCGCTCCGCGCCTCCTCCCCGGCCCCGGCCCGCCGGGTCGCGGCCAGCGGAGCGTCCGCCGGCACCATGAGCGGCGGCGGCGGGAGGGTGTGCGACCTGTCCCGGCGCAACCCTCAGGAGGACTTCGAGCTTATCCAGCGCATCGGCAGCGGCACCTACGGCGACGTCTACAAGGTGGGCGCAGCGCCGCGGCCCGGCGGGGGCTTCGCCTCTGTCCCCACTGCGGCGGGTTCCGCTGTCACGCAGCCTGGCCGGCCTCCTTCTCCAAAATCTGGGCGGGGGGGGGCGTCTTCCGTCGCCCAGCGGCGTGCCCTGGCCCTCCCCACCCTGGCCCTCCCCAGGGCATCGAGACCGCCCCCCCTCCGGCGGGGTCTGCCCCCCGCCACGGCCCGGCCGCCGCTGCCCCCGCCCGGCTGCGTCCCAGCCGGGCAGATGCGGGTGTGTGCGGGACTGACGCTGTTCCTGGAGCCGCCCCGCAGCCGCCCTGGCCACTGCTCCCGTGTGCCGGCCCCGGCCGCTGCTGCTGCTGCCGGCTCGGGCGGAGCTTGGGGGGCTGGTCTCTTCGAGAGCGGGCCGGGGGCTGTAGGGGTGTGGGAAGCTTGCTCGCTCGGTTCCAGCCCCAAATGCCACTTGAAGTCGTGTGCCTGAAGGCGAACAGGGCTCTCTGTCCCGGCTGCTGCTCCCGCCGCTGTCTTGGGTGGGATTCCGGTGTGTTGTGCTTGTGTCGGTGCGAAACGTGAGGCTGCGCGGTCGGAGGGCAAACTGGTGTGGTCAGGGTCAGTGTTTCAGGGTTCTGTTCTAACTTAAGTAAATGTAGGAAAATCAAACCTAAGGCAAAAGCAACTGAACATGAGTTTGAGGTTTAGGAGGACTTTATAATATCCTTTGACATTTTTCCCCGCTTTGCAGTGTTGGTTCTTATTTGTGTATCCAGTTGAACCCTTGCCTGTTGGGATGTGACAGTCTCTCCCTGGGATAGGATGACCCTGGTTGTTATCTGGTCCTGATTGGTCTTGGAGCAGAGGGAAGAACTGAAGTTTGTCATGTGCAGCCTGGTGGAAGCATTGCTTGATCCCTGTGCTTTCCAAGCACCTTCTGGCCTGTTTTTGTCATCACTGGGTGTGCACATGTGTCTGAGGGAACTTGTGCTGGTAGGCAGGACTGTAGGGAAACACGTAGAGCCATTCCCTGATTTGAGGTACACAGAACTGGTGCTGGTGCTGCCTTTCACTCCAAGTGAACGTGCCTAGAATGAAGTCTTGTTTGGGTTGGGGTGATTTCGTTTAATCTCATCTCGCTTAAATGTTATGGAAGTTTCAGACCTAAATCCTCTTGTTACTGCACTCTTAGTCTGCTAACAGCCTGCTTTATTAATTGTTTAATTGAAAGGGGGTTTTGTGTTGCACGCCCCACCTTGCCAGCTTTCTTGGTGTGTTTGTCTGCTGTGCTGATCTTTTACTTGTCCAAGCCTACTTGCCTTGTGCTCGGGGTTTTTGTTTTTTGCTAACTGTTCTTCGATGTGCCTCTCTGTGTGTGTCTCTTTCTGTGCAGTTTTTAACTGGAACATTGACTCTGTGACACTTTATCAGTCAGATTTTTTCAGTGCTCTGTATGTGATTTTGATGGATTTGAATTAACCAAGTCTTTATGGTTTAATTTTAAGGACGTTACCTCTAACCATAGTCTGGAATACACTTACATATGAAATATGTATCTGCATGTGTATCTGAAACCTGTTAGGTTAAATTGGATTTGTGATGTTTTCTCAATGGTTACCATTCTTACATTGCAGTATCCTTCAGTTTGGTGCTCTGTGAGTGGCCAGTGTTTGGCACTGCTTGTGACTCTTTTTCCTTTGAGGCACAGAAGTTCTCTCCTCAGAGTGGATTTGTTAATGTTTGCAATCTGCCTATGATAGCCGAGATAGGTGGTGATAACAGGACTAGGATACACTGGGCTGGTATTATAATTATTTCTTTTAGATGGGAGGTAAGTGCTTTCTGATTAGATAGTGGACAGTGTAGGGAAAATGAGAGTTGCTTTTTTCCTGTGTGGATTATTGCCTGTTTCATTTTGAGGCAAGGTCTTGCTCAGGGTGTCTTCGAGGTGGAGCATGAAAGTACCCAAAAATGACAATGAAAGCTGGCTACTTTTAATGTGGCAAAGAAGTAGTAATATAGTCTGAACTGTCATCCACATGTGAACTTGCTTAGGCTTTATCTTATGTTTGGGGTTTTGTAAAGCCTCTTTCATTTGCCCTCGTCCTGTCACCTGTAGGTGAACTTTGTGGTTGATGAAATCATTGCGTGAAGTTGAAATCAGCCGTGAGATGATAGAGCTCATCAGTGGTGGGATTTCGGCAGTGGTTCCAAGCACTATACGTACTCGGGTATCTTCAGGCTGTAATTTGTGGTTTTCCCCCCTTAGCAGGGAGAGGGAAGCGTTTCTACTGTTAGCAGGTAGGGATTATTGTCTTAATAAACTGACAGTCTTGCTAAATGCTGCCTCTTCTGTAACCTGCTTTCCCGGCAAAGCACTGAGGAGCTGAATGCAGACCAGGCTGGCATCTACTTCCCTTACTCCGGTTTAGTCAAACTGAACTGTAACAGGACGTGGTTTCAATGTTTGTTTAGTTTAAAAAAAAATAAATTATTAAAAAGAAGGGAAGCAGAGTCTCTATTCTGAAGCTTATTGAATTTGACATAAGAGCTGGTGGTGTGGACTGAGCTACAGAGATTGGACGGGAAGGAGGATGTGGGTCAGATGGATACAGTCTTGCTGCCGTGAGTCCTGCTCTTACACTCACATGCCGATGTGGGATTTTTGGCTCGAGCCAATATTTTTGCAATTATCTGCACTCCCACCGAAGTTCAGCTTTCAGAGAGCTTTGGAGCAAATGATAATGGATTCATCACTAGAAAGGTAATGGATAACTTGTTCATGCTGTTAGCTCTCTATCAGATACTCACAGTCAACAATATGTATGTCTTCTAACTAGCACCAGTGCAAATTTGTCATGGGAGGTGAAGTGTTATCTGAATTGCTTAGTTCTTCATGTATCCCTTTAATTATGTTGTTATGCAGGTCATTTCTGTCTTTTGTGCTTCTGTATTTCACTGTTGCAAAGAATTTTATTGTTAAAGGTGGTCACCAAAGTGTGAAAGAAGAGTTGTGATTTATTGGTTGTGAAACAGGGATACTGTCCAGTCCTGCTCAGTTGCAGGAAATATTCCTAGACTTGAATGAAGTAGCTGCTTAATTTTGTTTGTTCTGCATTTATCCTTCTCTAATTTAAGAAGACTTTTATGTCTCTTAAAAATTGCCATTCTAACCATCCTTAGTTTCAGGCTCTCTGTAAGGTATGACATTCTTTTAAAGTTTGGGTTACAGGTGCTGCACGGGGTTTTCCGACAGACACCATATTATGATGTGTCCTGTTTGTCCCCATTCCAGTACCTTTGGTTTTGGTAACAATTGCACATATTTTGGAAGTATATTCTGAGGTGATTATAGGTGCATTGCTTTTGTTCATGTGGTAAATTTATATCACAGCATATCTTGAAAAAAAAAAGATACTGCTTTGGTTTAATAAAGGTTGAACTTTATTTGCCATCTCAGAGATCATTCATCTTGTGTGGGTGGACCCTTCCAAAGATTTTCAGCATCTTACTAAAAAGACCCTTCTTTTACTTTCCCTTTTATTGAAATTCAAACAGCTGTGATAATTAGTGAGATTGTTGTTCCTGCAAGGGTTATGCCTTATTTCAGTTGTTTTTTGGCGTTAATTTTAATGTTAACATTAATGTTACCTGACTTCAGCCAGGTAACAAATGAAGACACAGAACTCGGTGGGTTGCACTTTGTTTGAGGTCTTATTTTTTAAAAAAAAGAAAAGCCTGATTTTTCTGTTTCCCAGCCCTTTGGCAAGGTAGTTGGTTTTGGTGAGGGAAGTCATGTATTCACCGGCTCAACTGCTTCACAATGAAAATTTAGGATTCTGTGGGTATGTCTGGGGAACACCTGGTGACTGTTTCTGCTTTTTCTGCTGCCATCCGTGTTTTGGAGTGTCTGGTTGCTGATAGAGCTTCTGTGTGTTGCTGGAATAGAATGTGTTCACGTCAAATGAACCTGAAACCTGATGAACTTCCATTTTGCAGTGTCCTACACACAAATCTCTTCTCTGCATGTGTGTGCCCATAGTCCTCTTTCCTGGAGTGATCCAGGGGCGATTCTTCTGCAGTTTGCTGCTTCTGAAATATTGAAGCTATGCCTTTCAGTTGTCTGCTTTTTGATAGGCATTTTAGCCTTCCTTTCTTCCTGATTTGACATTACAACTTTTGAAGCTTTTTATGATTTTATTAGGAGTAAATATCTGTTTTGAAGGCTCTGTCTCTTCAGCGTTAATTGGCTTTTGAAACTTGTCAGGTAGACAGAGAGGGAGGTGGGTGTTTTACCATCCCATTTTTACTACACTGATTAGGTACTAGAAGGCCTAAGTTTCTGGGACCATGGTTTCCTTAACCAATAGTTTGTGCCTTGCACAGAGATTTTTGTTTTTCTTAGTTTCAGATCCTTTTGTTTAATATCAAATTTATCAAAGCATTGCTTTCTAAAATTATCACTCTGTTGGGTTGTGGTATCACACTTTCTACCAGAATGTTGGAAGCGAACTGTTTTTAGGTAGGGGAGTTCTGAGGGTTTGAGAGAGGCTGAAGAGAAGGACTGTAGGGCTGTAAGCAAGAGGGTTGGGGAGTTGCTTGGGTGTGTTTTCCTGAAGAGCAGAGCTAATCAGGCTCAGGAAGCCTGTTTGTACCCTGGAACCAGTTATCCCACGAAGTAGTAACTTGTTTAGAAATCATTTTGTTCAACAGTTCACACAGGAAGTGGTCAAAACCAAAAGCCCTTGTTGTTGCTGTCTTTGCTTTTTGGCTTAGTTTTTGTTGCAGCATTATATGCTTTATATTATCAGTTTCCGTTTGAAGGACAAATATAAACTTGTCAAGAGATTTATCTCCTCGGATTTTACATCTCTACTGGTTCAGCTGCACAGATCTCTTCTTCTTATGAAGTGGAATATATTAGGGGCAGTGCTAAATACTGTCCTTTTCAGGCACACACCATTTGCACATCTTTTGCTTGACTGGTGTTTCCCAACTAGAGCACATCAGTACTGCCTCACTCCATTGCTCTTTGGTTCTCTATTGCAGAGTAGTAAGGTCTTTACAATTCTGAAGCATTTTTGTTAATTAATTTTTGCAAGTAAAGTAACAATAAAACCTGGCGCTTTTTTTTTAGGTTTTATTTCTAGTTGGTGGTAGTTTTTTTACGTAATATTTTTATCTGTCATCCTGCTGTTGTTACAGAGACACTAGTAATTATTTCCTGTTTAATTATACAGTGCCTCTTCAGTTGACTTGGCAGTTGGTGGAATTTTTGAAACTTCTCCCCAGATGGCAATCTAGATCTCTGGAAGAGTGTCATTCTTTTTTGCTGTTGATAGAATTAGGATTCTTCTATCATTTTCTAGAGCACACGTTGTATATAAATGCTCTACACATTTAATAAAGTACCTGCATGTAGATGCAGGCATTGTGGGCTAATCTTGGCCTCTAGAAAACGTAATGCATTCCCGTTGAGATAGTGAAATCTGCATTTGAAGGAAGTGGTTGAAGGATCCTGCTTC